CTGGGACTTTCAACATTCTTCTCCAATAGCATCACTTTAATGGATCAACTCTTTATAGTTCCTCATTCATTGTTTCCATTTCCACATTTTCTTGGATTGACTTTCTAATAGGTCCTTAAAGGGGTCTTTTCTAGTTGATTAAGCTGTAACTGTTTTCCAATGTCTTGCTATCAACGAGCGCTCCATCTGGCATGTTTGTTGAAATGTCTGTCATTATGGAGACTTTTCAACAGATTCAATTCCAGTTTTCCATTTAGTGAGGTGCACACATAAAGTGGCTTTTTTACATTTTTGAAATAATGTATTTGCAATGAGTAAGTCACTGGTCTTGCAAAATCCTTTCATGTGATCTCTGGTCTGGTATTCTTTTTAGCAGCAAAGATGTTTTCCAGCTACCTACCAATCATTCGTTTCCAACTTTCGCATTTCAGTCACCAGTAACTATCGGTGCATTCTGATGACGATGTGTGCTAGTCCCGGTTGAATGGAGAAAACAATTTAGGAACACTCATGTATTATTTAAGAGATAGCTTTGTATCAAAGAGCAATTATATATTGAGAAAAATCTGGGCACAGTCCAGATCAAGTCCATAAATCTGGTATTAGCTCCTATGTCCAATATTAAATTCCTCTTTAGACTCACACAGTGCATGCAATGATGCCAACGCAGGAAGATCACAAGCTGGTGGGTGGAAGTCTATGGGTCTAATCGCAGTGTTAGCATCACAGGGCTGTGCCTACAGGTCTCTGCCGAGCTCCACATGGCTTGTCCACAGGAAGACGAAGGCAGACAGAGAGGAAGTTCCCAGAATCCTCCAGGCTGTGACCTGACTGACAGGCTAGAGTCCACTCCCCTTCACTCTCAATATCCTTAAGTTTACATGAGATTATGTAACTACCACACATTCGATCAATTTCATACTGCCTAAGTTGGTAAAAATCTTCAATTTTTTTCATCTTTGGTTTTAGTGGTTGAACAAATTTGATATTTTTATTAACTACTTTTTCTTGCAGGTATATTACTACTATTTTATCACTGACAGCACTGTACATCATGATAAATCCTGAGATGTTCTTAACAAATGCTATGCTGTTAATCTACCATTCCCAGTAGAGATCACACGATTGTCTTGTTCTTAATTGGCTAATGCCAATACACTGAACCTCACTAGTACCTAGAATATCAATCTTCAAGTGTTCCATTTCATTTTTAGCAGCTTCCAATATCCTTTATTCCTCTTCAGATGGTACATGTTGTATTAATGAATATTTGCATCTGTGTCTTCTCATTTTGTATTGTGCCACATCAGTCAATGATGGTCCTCAAAGTTTTACTCCATCCATATCATTACAGTTGTCTGCTTTGAGGTGGTAGCTCTTAGCCCAGTTGTATTTCTGAGTACTTTCCAACTTGAGGGTCTCATTTTTTAGCACTGTGTTCCTGTGCTACTCATAAGGTTTTTACTAGGCAACTGAAGGGGAAAAATAAAAACAAAACAATCCAGGTCCTTCCCAGTCTTGTGTGAGAGCTATGCTGCTACCTGTGCATCATGAGTGAGCAGTTTGGTATTTGAAATCTCATTGGGATAGCTACCAGCATCACAAGGAAACCCAAGTCGCTGCACTATGACAGCTGAGCAGACTAGACTGAATGATGGAGACTCTACATCGGTCTAAAACGAAAAATCACACAAGTATACATACAAAATAAAAATGTTAAAGTATCAAATAGTTAACAATGTGAAACACATGTAACTCTCATATACTGTTGGTGGAAATGTACAGTGGTAAAGCCATTTTGGGAAAGTTTGAGTTTGTTATAAAGTTAAATATGAGTGAGTTCAAAAATTTAATTAAAAAATTCCATTATCTTTTAATTCCATATTTCCATGTCGAAAAGCCCCTCTGTACACCATGTGACAACACGTTTCGAATCTTAGGTATTTATCTAAGAAATGAAAACATATGCCCACAAAATGTTTGTATACAAATGTTTATAGCAGCTTTATTCATAATAGCCAAAACCAGAAAACAATTATCCATCAACTGGTAAATGAATAAACAAAATATGGTATATCCCACACAATGCATTAATGCTAAAACAGTATGGAAGGAACTACTGATACATGCAGTTAACAAGAATATCTAAAAAGCTTGTTATATGAAAAGGCACAAAATAACACATCTTCATTTATTTATAATTATTGAAAAGGTACGACTATAGTGACATCATCAGTTAAATCACTGGTTCTCCACCTTCCTAATGCTGCAAACCTTTAATACAGTTCCTCATGCTGTGATGACCCCCAACCATACATTATTTTCATTGCTACTTTGTAACTGTAATTTTGCTACTGTTACGAACCAGGAAACTCCTGTGAAAGGGTCGTTTGACCCCCCAAAGGGGTTGTGACCCATAAATTGAGAACCGCCGAGTTAAATGGTTGTTACCAGTAGCAAGATATTGAATGTAAAGGAGAACAAGACACATTTTTAGGTAACGGGATAGTTCTATACCAAGACTGTAATGAGAATAATCATATGACTATACAAATGACAGAACAGAATTACTTAACATTGGTTCATCTCATTATATATAAAAGAATACCTTAAAGCTTAAAAAGAAGGGGGAGACTAAGGAAATATACCAAAATGTAATAGTGTAACATGATTCTCTTTATATGTTGACGTTTCAATTATTTCACAATGAAAATGTACTGTTGCAGATTCAGAAAAGAAGTATCATTTACACCATTAGCATATTAAAAAGTATGTTTATAGCATACAATCACAATGCCTTCAATATAAATACACACAGACTCTAAGAGCTAGAATAAAAAGCAAACTACCAGTTTAACATTGCTTTTTTACAAATTCTAATTTTTAGGGTGGATTTTGATGAAAAAATGAGTACTAGAAAATATCTAGTAATAATTCGTATAAATATGGGTAGTTTGGGCCCAAGTTAATGATAGGAAGGTTTCATCAATGTGGAGACATTGTTCAAAGATGCTTTCTAGAGAGTTTTCTTTTTCTCCATTCCAACCACCTGATACCCCTACCCAAGAAGCTTTGGATTTCAGGTTCATTCCACCTCCCACCCCCCGCCAAAGTTATCTTCCAGACTCAGAATGGTGAGACAAGTAACTGCCCTTCTTAGTCTATTCCAATAAAACCACTAAAGAACAAACGGTTCTGAGACTTAGAATACATATTACATTCAATAATGTCCTACTCCATAAACAAACAGTGACAATAGCTGTTTTAATCTCTGAACACCTCATGCACTAAATAATTTCAGAAATATCTTTTCCATTCATATGGAAAATATAAGCAATGTATTGAGTAATTTATACGCATGACATCAACTATAAGACAAAACTCCAAACCCACTGCCATCAAGTCAGTTCAACTCAGTGACCCTATGGGGCCGAGCAGAACTGACCCAAACCTTTCACGGGAGTAGAAAGCCCCATCTTTTCCCCTCAGAGCAGCTGGTGGTTTTCAACTACCGACCTTGCACTTAGTTGCCCACAAACCTAGCACAACATGCCCCCAGGATCCTTTGGAATCAGCTACGTAGTAATTAAACGACCAAAAGGAATCATAATTATTCCTTTTCCATGATATTTTGGCCAAGAGACTGTAAATTTAAACTAGATAATAAGAGCATGGGGGGGGGATTACACAGAAATAAAATCTTATATAAACATCTGATAGTCATCTTGAGTTTAGAGATAAACTAATATCTACAATATTATGATTTGACTTCAACAAAAATTCAATGAGTGACAGATCATTTTTGGGAGACCAGCCATACAGGAACCTGCACACACAGCCCATCCAAAGACATGGGGAGCGATGATGGGGGCACACACTAGGCTACTACAAATCATCACAGCATTATCACTACACCCTAGGCATCCCATGATACTTTTCCCCTTTGTTTCCTTGGATTGATTGGAAGGGACATTAAAATGTGCCTATTTTGGGGTAGAGCAAGATGCTCTCTTGATGTCTCTGCAGTTTTCCAGCAGTATGACTTTTACATTTTGTCAGACATTATGAGTCACAATCATTAGGTCCCAAAATAAATGGGGGAAATCGGGCTACAGCAGAGCAAGAAAACAGCACTCAACAGATGTTTCAGTTAAGCTTTCTGCTAAGTTATATAAAATATTAAAGGTGGCTTAAAACCATGATCGTTTTTTATCAAAATAAGGGCAATTGTGGAGTTGGTTAATTGAATAGCTCACCAGAATTATGAAGGACTCTCGTAGAGCAGTTTCCGCCCTACACTTCTCACAGTGAGGCAAGTCTTTCTCTGAAGCCTTCCCCTACCCCTTGCAAATTTCTCCTCAGCTCAGGACTCGTTCGCATGGTCATGCCTCACCAATTACTTACCAGACAAAGCCCGCCCAGGACTGGCTTGAGAGAAATCTTGTTTCACCCTAAGGGAAAAGGGCCCACCATACCCAGGCACAAGCCTGCCCAGAAAGGAAGGGCCAAGGAACAAATGATTTGCCCTAACGTGGTAAGGGCCGAAAGCATACAGATCAGACTGGATTCCATTGGCAGGTGGAGTACAATAGCATTCAGCGCACAGAAAAGAAGTATAATGTAATGGATTGTTACAAAAAATACTATTTCAGGGACAAATACTAGCTAAGATTCAGTATCTTCTCCAATACAAACACTTCCCTATGTGCGGTCCATGAATTAACACCTTCAGTCTTCACTGCTGTTATCCTTATTTTAGAGAAGGAAAGGAAAATACAAGTGGTTAAGTATCTTGCCTAAGACATGGAGTGGTGACAGAGCTGAGCTCTGACTCTCAGTAGTCAGGCTCCCGACTGTGCTCTTAACTGCTACATTACGCTGCACCAGGGGATGTAAGTTCAGTCTTCTTAAAACAGAAAACAAACAAAAACCAGCAAAACGTTAAATGGGCAAGGGATAAGTGGACATGTTAAATATAAAAAGCAAACCAAGAAGTTGGCTGAGATTTACACACTATACATTTTATTAAATTCTGGGCATTCTTACAACAAATGAATTTGCTTCTGGTAGATGTTTCATTTTTAAAAATGTGATTGTGTTCAAATTCTTGTGTGACACTGCCTTTTGTCTAAGCAACCTATTTTTTTTAAAAACTGGTTCTATAATGAGTCTTTATGGTGAGCAACAGTAATTTTTACCACGGAACAAAGGAATTTCTCCAGTTGTATAACAATACATATGAGTACTCTCATGAGGTGGGCATGACACGCAGAGTGTATGGCCATTCCACGGTATACTTATAAGTACCACCTAGGGCTAACGGTGCTAAGTCAGTAAGTCATGCACAGCAAGTCATGAGGGTGCACTGAGGATTTCTAAGGTTCTACCTTATACACAGGAATTAGTCATGGCCCAAGGCTCGGTATAGAGATAAAATTTTTAAACTATGATGGACAATGGCTGTCAAATTGGCTTTTCAGATGAGCACAAAAAGTTGTCAGCTGTAATACCCAGTCTGGATCCGCGGCGGAAAGTTCTTGGGAGAGCCTTTTCCTGTGTTTTGATCAAGTCTATAATAGCAGACAGCACCGCACAGTCTCTGGATTTAGTATCCTTCCAGTCTACAGGATGAGGGTTTTCAATCTTCTCTTGCAGAAGGACATCTAGTTCCTTTCTTAATTCCTGAAGTTAGAAAGATTACTTGTGTTCAGCTGAGGCAGATGAACTTTCACACCACATAATAAGGAAAAGAACTTTAATTGGTAAATGAGTTTCACAAGCCCTGGGACAAAACTGAAACATTTCGTGATCAATCATCTAAAATGTGGTTATGAGTATCCTACTAAAGTACAGTTAAGTTTTGAGAAATTCCACCTTAAACCACACTGAGCCATTTAAAATTGCTGGCTAATTATAATTTTTAAAACAAGTAGGAAAAAGTATGAATTGATCTCTCAATATTATTCATTAGGCTGAAAAAGAAACAAAGGATATATATATATATATATACATAACAGAACAAAACTAGGATCATGCAGATTTGCATGTAATTCAAAGATGATCATGTAAAGGCAGTCACCTTCACAAGATGGGCAATTCGTGCTGGAGACTGAAAGATAATCCACTCATCTACAGCAATTGTTTCTTGATCGTTATCCTTCTGGATGGAAATATCACCGCCAAAGAACAAGAGACAGTAGGGAGATACCTCTGTGCAGTCATACAAGTATATCTGCAATGAGAATTAAAGGGAATTAATACATTCATGAGTGTGAGTTGCTTTCTCCTTTCATAAAGATCACCTGTATCTATTACTACCTTCCTTCTAGGCAGAGATTGTTCTGCCAATTGTGATCAAACTGTTACCATGTGGTCAATCTTAACACTAGTGAGCCTCTACAGGAAAAGGAGAACTGGCCCACAGGTTGCCAAACCTGTAATCTTTATGGAGGCTGACTGCCACATTTTTCTCCCACACAGTGGCTGACAGATACAGTTTGAATGGTCTACCTTTCACTAACAGCCAATACTTAACCACTGTGCCACTAACACTCCTTCACTAGTGCTTGAAAGTAGACTCTGAAATAACATTTTACAAATGAAAGCAAGTGTCTAATGAGTTAAAATACAAAGGTCCACCATGACAGACATGCACAATAAAAAGTCTGAACTATTAAGGGAAAAAAGTTGTAATTCCTACTGGAACAAAAGTGGGGGGGGAAAGTGAGAATGAATTTTGTTTATAACTGTCATGACAAAACCAATATATAGGTCCATAATTATTTTACATGTTTACTTACACTACTTGTTCTCATCTTCAGGTGATAGATAAGCCACTTATAATGAAATTCTGTTTGTTGCACATTAACAGATTTAGGATGAATGGCCACTAACCCATCAGTTTTTGTGTACACTTTAACCCTGTAAAAATTAAAACAATTTTTAAAAAGTCCTCCAAAGGATTCTTTTCTCAAGTATCAGAAATTTGATGAAGGACTATACTAACCCCCGAAACAAACAAAGCAAAATTCACAGTTGAGTTTCATTTATTTTTTGCAATACAAATTTATAAATTCATATTTAAGGAAAAATTTTAATTTTAATAAGATTGGAAATATCAGCTAAATATGAATATTTAATAAACCATATTAAGGAATTAGCTTCTTATAGTTACCCAATAGATTAGAATAGGATAAATTATTACTTTATTGTGCTAAAAGACACCACGTCACTGAAAAATTATGAACAAATAAATAAAAATATATGAAATAATTAGTGATTGAGACCAAGAAAAGGATTTACACATTTTTCTATGGCAATCTTGATACTAAAAAGTTGGCCTAATTTTAAGAATAGCTTTCAGAAATACATTTTTAAATTTCAGAGGGTATGTACCCAGCCAGACATAAAACAGGAAGTAAAGACTATTGTTAAAAACAGAGTTTAAAACAACTGATTTAAAAGAACTTATTTTGGAAAGTATTTTAGATAGGCTAACATCCACTCAAATCTTCTCCTTTCAAAATAGGGATCGTTGGAACAAATGTATCTTGATAGAGCTCTATGTAGCACAGTTTCAATTCCTAGGGGTCTTTTCTAAAATATTCATAAAAATCATACCTCAGGTTAGTCCCTCTTTAATTAATATTATTCAGGAAGATATCAGGGAGATGTTCATAGATTTACTTTCTTTTAAAAATTATTTTATTGGGGCTCATATAACTCATCACAGTTCACATATACATCCATTGTGAGTCAAACACATTTGTACATTTGCTGCCCTCTTCATTCTCAGAATATTTACTTTCTACTTGAGCCCTAAAAAACAATTATTGTTACGTAACTTGACCTTGACCCATGGTGACTTCATCCACGTGTGTCAGAGTACCTGCAGCACATAAAGTTTTCACAGGCTGATTTTTATAAGGTTCCTTCTGGGTGGATTTGAACCTTCAATCTTTATAGGTTAGCAGCCAAGTGGACTACCTATTTGCACCACCTAGGGATTCCTACTTTTAAGCAATTTTTAAAATAATGTCTGTTATTGAATAATAAAAAACTGATGAGTCAAGAACATTTTCAAGAATATCTTTTCTGAAGTTCTTAAAATTCACATTACTTCTACCCAAATCATAAAATCATTGTTAATGATGTCTTTTCACTGTGTAACCCAATCTCACTAGAATGGGACTAGCAAACATTTAAAGAAACTGAAGCATAAATTTCAGATTTTGTGAGCATACAACCTGTCACAACGTCTCAACCTCTGCTGGAGCAGCAGGAAAGCAACCACAGACCACTTGTAACTAAAAGGGCATGGCAGCAGCCCAATGAAAATGTGCCCCAAAACGAAGCTCTTGGCCTATAGGCAAGTTTGCTGAACTCTGCCTAAACTAATCAGAGCACCAGTTCAAGGAGAATTGTATTATTTAAAAATCAATAATGTCCCAATGGCAGAGGAAAATAATAAAAATTAAAATGTTGTATTTTAAAGAGTCCTAGTAAGCTACCTGTACAGTTCAGTATGGTTAAAAGTACTGATGCCAGCAAAGTACTCGGGTCACTTAGCATGTGGATAATCATGCCATAAGTGAATACACTTCACCTGCTGATCACTCTACGCCTTAGAATAGGGCATTTTGGATAACTGGGTAATTCTTTGCTGTGGCGGGATGTGCTGTGCAATATAGGGATGTTCAACAGATGTTCAATCTTTGGCCTATGGGATACTAGAAGCACATTCTGCTCCCAATGGTGACAAAAACAAATGTCTTCAGACATTGCAAAATCACTGCTAGCTATTAACTATTGTCCTAGAACAATGTCTGCACTTTGGTCTATCTTTAGGTTTCCTACCATCTTCATCTATCTTTTTTATATAGTTTAAACTAGTAATTCTTCTTTAAATCAACGTAAGCTCAAATATTTTGTTACTATAAATTACTTTCTATGCCAAAAAATTAAACAAAAACTGAAAAGCTAATGTATGATATGATATTATAAAACAAAGTCTCCATTACTAGTGGGCATTTATACTGTCTACAATACAGCTTTTAGAAAACACTGGGAATTACACTTCCTTAGGATCAATTTCTTAAAGTATTCTCTGGGATAGTAAATGCTGGAGTGCCTTTGAAAGAGGCAGTGAAACGGTACGAGCCACTCCGTTTTCCTGTGTCCGTGACTAGTAAAAATCATTCAGTAAGCACAGTCTTGTCAGTCTCTTCTGAAGCCATCAATACATATATTTATTTTATTTCTCAAAACTATGAAATTACCACAATTTTCTTTAAAGAGCTATTATAAAACTATCCAGTTTACACGAGAGGAAAACAAATCAAAAGCCTGAAACAAATCCGATCTTAGCGATTTCTACCCCGTCATCAGTTCCTGATTTATGTTCCACAATTTACCCGGTTCTTACATGTTATTAACATTCTTTGTGAGGAATGAGTGACAGGAGAGGAGACTCCATGATGTGCTCCAGGGGAAAGTGAGGCCTATGTCAAATTTTACTTTCTTCTAAGTGATCGAAAGAACAAGAATATGACCCAAATAAGAGTATGAATAAGTGTACACTACAAAAAACCTTATTGCCTAGAGCAGCGGTTCTCAACCTGTGGGTCTCAACCCCTTTGGGGATCGAACGGCCCTTTCACAAGGGTCGCACGATTCATAACAGTAGCAAAATTATAGTTAGGAAGTAGCAACGAAAATAATTTTATGGTTGGGGGGGGGGGTCACCACAACATGAGGAACTGTATTAAAGGGTCAGGGCATTAGGAAGGTTGAGAACCTCTGCCTTAGAGGATTTCAAAAGTGTGAGGGAAATATTGCAAATAGTTGACAATAATCTTTAATGCTCACAGTTTTCGTTTTTTTTCCAAATTTGGCCGGATTTTAGCAACTTTGGGGTATAAACCAGCGCAGATAACAGCCTTAATTATCTTCTCATTATCTATTTGGAATGGGAAAACAGAGGGAGGAAAAAGTAAATACTGGCATACTGGACAACAGTAGCAAGTTATTTCCACAGTATTTCCTACTTTACCTGAATTTATATTAGATTTTGGGTCTTTAGGACTTCTACTGCTTACAAATCCAGCTCCAAGAAGATGCTCAGCAAACTGTCCTTTCATATTATGCAACATCTAGGGAGCAATGATAACAAACAGAACTAGAGCATCTTTGACACAGCTCCGAGGCACACACTCAAACGTACTTCTAAGGTTTCTTCTGCTGTGGCACACCTCAGGCTGCGTGGGTGGGGCGGCTTATTTTATAAATGGTTCTACTGGAACACAGCCACACCCATTCTTGTGGGCGGGACTATGCTTGTGTTTGCACTACAATGGCAGAGCTAAGGGACTGCACTAGAAGCCACATGGCCTGCCCAACCTGAAATATTTACTATATGGCCTTTTACAAGTAAAAGTTGCCTATTTTAGGGATAATCACTAAGTATTGCTCTATTTTGTAAAAGACACACTAATTTTAAATTACCCTCATCTATATTTCTTAAAATATCCACATTACTTATTACTAAGACTTAACTAGTAAAAAAGTCTGCTTTATTTTTTCCTAAATAATGTTTTACTATGTTTGCCATGAATGAATACAGAGTAAATTCGGTTCCCACTGAACAATTTCCATGCATAGTTCAGTAATATTGGTTATCTATTTTTTTATTTTAATAATTTTAGTCATATATCATTCACACATCATACAGTCAATAGTTTAAACATTAAAAAGAAGTGTGCAATCATGAGCACAATTTATTTTTAATCAATTTATTTAAAAGAAAATCGCTGGCTAAAAGTGATGCATAGTCACTCAGTATCAAGCATTCAAGTAATGTGGAAAATAAAAGTATCTCAATACCCTAAAAAATAACCATAAATGACGTAAACGTGATAAGAGATGTGGATTGCACATATATTAGCCATCTCCTGATGTCTGGCTTTCAGGACCCTCATGGACACCAAGAGCTGTAGCTGCTATAGTCCCTTACATAACATGACAATAGTATTTCCATATAACCCATGTATACCCCATGCACTTTCGATCACCTCTACAATCTTTGTAATTCCTTATACAAGGTAATGCTGGGTAAGTAACAATTGTTTTGATTTTTTCCCCCACCTATTTTCAAATATAAGGTAGGTTGAACTTTTATCTAGATACAGAGGGTAAAGACTACATACTGAAAGAAGATACAGGTAGAAATATTGCAAAAATAATGAGATCATACACCAGTAAGCAAGGTAAGCATGGGCTTATTTGTGTTTAGTTAACTACTAATCTATAGTGAGCAATTTCACATTTTTTCACAACAGAGATTCTGCAAGTCTAGGTGATATTTGTCTCCCCCAAACCCATGGCACCTACCAAGCCTCTTTATGAATTTATAAGCCCTGACAGGGACTCAGTAAGCAAGGTAGGCACAGGCTTACTTACTAGTCTGTAGTAAGTAAGCTACACTACACATTAGTAAGTAAGCACAAGTAAACAAACACAGGCTTACCTTACTTACTAGGTAATCTCCTCCTGACGATAGCACAGAAGCTGTTTTTATAAAAGCATTACAATTAATTTTAGTTTCAAGAAAATTTAGCAAGAGTGGAACTAAAGAACAGATGAATTTTACATTTTCAAAATTGAGATATTTTCAAAAATATTTGTAAGCTTAAGAAAAGCTTATCAAATATTATAAAAGGTTGTCATATCACATACATATATCACATAGAGGACATTATATTTCTCCTACCTTCTCATTTTACGTTTCAGCAACTTATGGCTTTCGTTACCATTATTTCTACATTTTTCAGGATAACCTTTACGCTAGTCTGTTCCCATAATTTCCACCATTGCTTTGCATTAGCTGTACATCTAGTAATTTCAATGCCCACCATCAGATGACATAGCTCCATTTATGAAGTCTCCACTTTTGAGTCTTGTTCTTTTTAAATCATTTTATTGAGTGCTCTTAAAGCTCTTATCACAATCCAATACATCCATCATGTCAAGCACATTTGTAAATATGTTGCCATAATCATTTTCAAAACATTTTTTTTCTGCTTGAGCACTTGGTATCAGCTTATTTTCCGCCCTCCCCCCTTCTACCCCCCTCATGAACTCTTGATAATTTATAATTTCTTTTTTCATGTCTTACACTGATCTCTATCTTCCTTCACCCACTTTTTTGTTGTCTGTCCCCCTGGGAGGGAGTTATATGTAGATCATTGTGATCGGTTCTCCCTTATTAGACAGCAAAACTAACTGCCAATGAATTTCACGAATAGTTCTTGGGAGCAGTATTTCTCAAGTGCTTTCTTAAATGTTGGTCTCACCTTTAGACATAAATCACTATTTTAATTAGGTATGATATCTTCAAATATCAAATGGATTTAGCAGTCTTTTCATATTTTTGATTCACTTCATTTCCATTTTAGGGTAGCAGTCCTATATCTGATTACATAGTCTCTCTATGCCTGAATACATATTCAATTACATTGGAGTTTTCTCTGTAGATAATTGTTACCTTCATAATAGATCATCCCTGTCTCCCTTTCCATAGTATTTTACTCACTGGTTGGACCTTTCTCTTTCTCAGCTGTATTCATGAACTGTAATTACTGTAATTAAGCCTTTCTTTAGGGGTAATAATTTGACTTTAAGGGGTGTCTATTTTGTTCTGTGATTTTTGCTTTTGGAAGAATTCGACTTCATAATTCAGGTGTCTCTTTTTATACATTATTGGTTTGACTGAATTCATATTCTTATAGTTTCACATCAACGAAGCAGTTGCACATTGTCTTTTATAAGCTACTAGGTTACACATCTTTGTTTTGTAATTGATTTACTAAGTCTTTTCTATATAATGAATGAATGTCATACACATATTCTCTACTTAGCGTACCTAACAGTAACTGTAAAGCCTTCACCATTACCTGGAGGGTGTTTGAAGACAGAAAATAATCCCAGCAATAGTCCTTTTCATATCTGAAACCGCGTCGCCTAGCTTCCTCCCAGCCCTATCAAGCAAAGAAAGGAAACTTATTTGTGTTAATTTTCAAAGCAAATATTGCTTACTAGTTCCTGTTTTAATTTTGGTAATGATTTGACATTCCCTGCCATTTCATTTTCTTTTTTTAAATTATTTTATTGAGGGCGCGTACAATTCTTATCACAGTCCATACATACATCCATTGAGTCAAGGACCTATGTACACCTGTTGCCCTCATCAATCTCAAAACGTTTGCCCTCTACTTTAGCCCTCAATATCATTTGCTGCCATTTCATTTTCTTTATGAAAGGTTGAAAACAACTTAAAAACTTATAAAGAAACAGTAACTTTCCATAATCCCAGTCTTTAAGAGAGAGCTACCACCAATCTTTTAGATGATTAAAAAAAAAAGTATGAGTTACACAGCTAAATGCTTGATTTTATGAAAAATGGCCTGATAGTATAATGTATCAATTAAAGAGATTGATAGAAAACAAATTTCAATGCTCTTATTATATACAGATATGGGCACTTCAAAAGTTTATGGGAAAATGCTATTATCTCCTAATTCAGTTTTCCATTAATTTTTTGCAGTTCTCTTTTCATATATATTTCTTTTAGTTATGGACAAAAGCAGGAAAATATGTTTACTGAGCTCAGAGGAAAAAGACATATAAACTTACCCTTATTTTCTATTACTAAATGAGTCTGGAGATACAATAAAAAGATAATGCCTTTATAAACCAAATACTTTTAAAATATTATAAAGATGAGTGGTAAATGCTTACTCTTAAATAAGCTTAGCTTTTAGGATATCTCCCACAAACCCTTAGACCAAACAATGTACCTAATTATGATGCTCTTTATCAAAATGTGGAATTTGATCACAGGTGAAGCTAGTTGATGAATAAAATGTAGTATTTGTCATGAATACCAAAAAGATAAGTGAAAAAGATTCCTAAAAGCTTGTTTGGTTGATACCAAAACAACACAAACTATTTCTCTTCAGTAAAGGTAACTGTAATAAGCTATCGTATACAAATGAATCAAAAAAACCTCCTTGCCACCAAGTCAATTCTGACTCACCGCGACCCTCTAAGGACAGAGTAAACTACCCCTGTGGGTTTTCCAAGACTGCAACTCTTTACGGGAACAGAAAGCCAAGTCTTTCTCCTACAGAATGGCTAGTGGTGGGTTCGAACTGCTGTCCTTGGGGTTAATAGCCCAACAAATAACCACTAAGCCACCAGGGCTTTTTCACACTTTGGATGTTACTCCACATGTTCCCAAATTTCTTTCCAAATGTTCATTTGGCTTTAAACATTCTCACTTAGCAATGTCTACATGGTAACTGCAATACAGGCTTTAAAAGGGTCACACGAATAAGGCATCGTGATCACTGGGTTTCCATTGTTTTCTGTTTCTTTGTTTGAATAAACTACCACAATCCAGAAGAAGTTGGGGTCTTTTTGTTTGTTTTCTTTACCTCAAATGCATTCACAACTGTGAGGTGGTCACTTTTAGAATCCTTTGCCAATTCTTTTCTTTTTGCATCTGCAATCTTCTCTTTTCCCTTAAAAAACAGGTAGAGACAATTTATAACAGTGTGATTCTAATTTTTAAAAATAGTATTCCTGTAGAAAGCTATTGAAAAATTATTTGATCTAAGTAACGACTATTCGTGGTATCTGAAAATGCCCGTGCTTTTATGTGAATCTCTCTTACCAATGGAATGACAAAGGGATCTTTGAAGCTGAGACTAGCAGCAATAGTGAGTACTGGGTCTAAGCAACAGAACAGAGCTCCAAAGAGAATCATTTTTCCAATATGTGGCTCGACTGGTAGACGTGCTAAGTGGACTCCAAGAGGGGTCAATTCTTCCTGTTTATCCAAAGCATTCTGCAAAATAGAGTTTACAGCATTAGATTTTTGTTTGTTTTCAAAACAAAGGCAAAACCTTATTCTCTAAAGGCCAAATCCCTTAACATTGCTCAAAATTTTCATCCATCAAAACATTACGTTCTGAAGTAAACAGAGTAGAAACTTAAAACAAGTAAAATCAATCTATATCCTAGTTTTACTTTAAATGAGACAATAATTATAAAATTTCCATCAAATACAGAAAAATCACAATGCATAATAATTCACATGGAGATGATGCTCAAATAAAAGAACACTGTATGCATGTATGTCAATCAAGAAGCAATACGGAAATATCTTAGTTTACCATATATACTCAAGTAAAAGCCTACCCAAATATCAGCTGAGGCATTAAAAATATGCTGGAAAACTCGGTGTACACATGAGTATATACAGTACTTGTTCTCTGTCAGATACTATTTAATCTTGTTTCATTAATAGTTTAAAACTCTTATCATCTAGTTTTGTGTACCTCTTATTGTTCTTAGTAAGGTATTAATTGTATGAAATAATAAACTATCTTTCAGTGCATTGTGATATTATTATTAAAATGGCCATTAAGGCAGCAAACCGGTTGTTAAATTATTTGAATCCCACCACTGAGTAAGTGACGTAAGTGATGCTGGGTCCAAAAGATTTCTCTGTTAAATTGGCTCTTACCATATCAAGCACAAAAAAATCAATTACATTGATTTGGAATCTAAAAGTCAAGTACAGAACAAAGTTTTAGAGAAAAATATCTTTATGACCTCACTGAGGTATACTTTTTACACAGGGCAAGAAAAAGGCTATTATATTTAACTACATTAAATAGTTAAAATGAGGAATGTCTATCAAAAAACATCACTTAAAAATGAAAAAGGTCAAAGTACAAAAAGACATATGCGAATACAAAACTCGCAAAAGACTCGGACCAAGTGAATATAAGAAGTATAGACAAGAAGGAGCCCCAACCAACAAAAGCAGGCATCAGATATGCCAACCAAATGGGCAAAATGTGGCATATAGCCTGAATTATACTTATAGAGATCCAAGTAAAACCACAACTGATAACCGTTACGGACCTACCTACCAGCATGGTTAAAATAAGACTGAGCATGAGAAATACCAAAAAGGTGACAGAATTAGAACTCCCTCATCATCACTGGTGGGAATGTAAAGTAGTTCAACAAACTATTTGCCATCATCTATGAAAGCTGATCACACATATGCCAGTGACTGAGTACATCCCCCCAAATGTATGTGCCCATGAGAATTGTTTGAACATATGTATGAAGGTATGTACAAAATGAATACACAAATCAGCATATGTAATACCTCAAAATCTAAATGACTTTCATCAATGATACAATTAAATAGGGCCACTCATGAAGATGAATGTGTATCACTAAAACCAACAAAATAGATAAATCTTTTTTTTCAACCGACATTTTATTTACTTATTTATTTTTAAGATCATTCTATTGGGGGCTCTTACAGCTCTTATAACAATCCATACATCAATTGTATCAAACATATTTGCACGTATGTTGCCATCAATATTTTCTAAACATTTACCTTCTATTTGAGCCCTTAATAGCAGCTCTTTTTACCCGCCCCTCCCCATCTCCCACCCTCGTGACCCCTTGATAAATTATAAATTATTATTTTCGTATCTTACACCGCCCGCTGTTTCCCTTCCTTTGCAGTTTCTTCCTCCCTCCTCTCCCCACCTTTCCCCTACCCTCCTGGTATCACTACTCCCATTTCTGTTCCTGAGAGGCTTATCTGACCTGGATTCCATGTGTCCTGAGCTCTTATCTGTACTGTACACATGCTCCAGCCTAGCCTGCAGTGAAAGGCAGCACTGGGGTCATGATAGGGTGGGGCAGAGGGTGAGGAAGCCTCAAGGAACCAGAGGAATATTGTGTATTTCATCAGTGCTATACTTCACCCTGGTTGACTCATCCCTTCTGTGAGAGCATGTCCCATTGTCTAGGTGAGTTTGGGGTCTCTGCTCCAACCCTCCTTGTTCTCAACAATAAGTTTTTCTATTTTGGGTCTTTTTGTTCTTGTTGTCTGATCATGTCAACACCTCATGATTCTTCCATGAGGGCTTGTTGCCTCTGTGCTAGATGACCACTTGTTTAACTTCAAGCCTTTAAAATCCCAGATGTTATATCTTTTAATAGCCAGGCACCTTCATCTTTCTTCACCACATTTGCTTGTGCATCCATTTTGTCTTCAGTGATCGTGCCAGGAAGGTGAGCATTACATTATGTCAGGTTGTTAGAACAAAGTGTGCATTAAGGGAGGGCTTGAGCAGAGGCCCAAAGTTCGTCCACTTCCTCAATGTATGCCATATAAATATATGTACCTAGGCCAATATCTCTATTTTTTATTAATTAATATATTTACATAAGTGCACACCAGTTTGTACCTCTATCTATAGCTTTGCTTCCATTAACATTAAGTGAAAAAAATGAAACATAAACTTTTCTAAAAGACTCCAATATCATCTATGAGAGTTCATGTGGAGTTTATGAAACAAGCCCAACTACCGTATATACTCGAGTATAGCCGACCCGAAAATCAGCCGAGGCACCTAACTTAACCACAAAAACTGCATTAAAAATGTTCTGGAAAATTCAGCTTATACTCGACTATATATGGTATATTAAATTAGAGATGCATAATTGTATGTAGGTATGCTGTTAAATAGGTTTCAGTAAAGTTTCTACAAAAGACATGGAAGAAAACCCAGTTATCTATTTCTGAAAATCAGTCAATAAAAACCTAAGGATTACAATGGTCCAATTCTATTATGCAAAGAGTTGCCATGACTTGGGACTAACCTTACAGCACCTAAACTTCATAGCAATGAGCACAAATTGTACTTTACAGATTCTATATGCTAGATCTAAGTTAGAATTAAAAAGTAAAATTTACCAGTTCCATCAGGTGTTTTATGGACAGTAATATTGCCTCATTTGATGGTGGATCCATTAATCTCCTCAAAAAATATGCAATTCCACCAAGCCTTAAAATCTGGAGATAGGTAAATATAATTAAACATATATCATACAGTCGTGCAACAATTTAGTCGTTTGTGTTACTCACTCAAAGTATCAAACCTATACATAATTTGTTATTTTACTAGAATGAGTTACAATAATTTGTCCTTTCATAAAAGCATATTTAAAGGACAATGTCACTTTTTTATCACAAACTTTGCTAATGTGAAAAGTTAGCCTTTTAAACAACTTGGTTACAAATATCTTTAAATTAAGAAGGCTAATTATACCTAAAGAGAAATGCTACTATAAAATAATACTGTCTTTACTCCCCAGGATGACGTCTGACCATGTAAAAATTATAGCCAACACTTACTAGAAAATTATCATGTGATAGGTACTGTTCTAAAAGTTACATTATTTATTTAAAGAATTGTCCAGTGTAATAGAACTAGCTTGTTGAGAAAGAAATTTGATGTTCAAACCCATGAGTATTGCTCCTGAGTAACACAGTTAAAAAGTATTTAATGAATATTTGGCTACTTTTTCTTTATAGCAAATTATGAGCACTGATAGTGTAGTCATTACAGTGTTCATCTTATTAATCACAAGGTCAGCAGTTTGAACCAGCTAGCCACTTATGGGAGGAAGAAGTGGCAGTCTGCTTCTGTAAGACTTACAGCCTTAGAAATCCTATGGGACAGTTCTACTCTGACAAAAAAATTTTAAAAATAGCCAACCTCAATCACTGATTCGAATGTGACTCATATCAAACCTATAGACCAGTCTGCCCCTGTGGGGTTCTGAAGCTGCAATTCTTTCTGGGAGTACACAGCCTTATCTTACTCCAGAGGAGCATCTGACGAGTTCCATTTGCTGACCTTCTGTGTGGTTAGCATCCCAATTTGTAATCCACTACACTATCAGGTAGGCTGGAATTGATTTGACAGCAGTCTATCTTTTGCTTAGTAATGAAATAAATGTACACTTAAAAACAGAGAGATTTATATAATTATGATACACACAAAAATAAACACCTAAATCAAACCAATCCACTGCCATCAAGCTGAAGACAACTCTATAGAGCAAGGTAGAACTGCCCCTGTGGATTTCTGAGACTGTTGCTCCTTATGGGAGTAGAAAGCCCCATTTTTTCCCCTCAAACTGGTAGGTAGATTTGACCTGCTGACCTTGAAGTTAGCCCTTTTCATACACATTAATGCACTGCTTTTTCCATAGAAGACTTATAGTGTCCTAATTGTCCAATCTAAGTTACCTTTATTTGTAAGCAAAGTTCCTCCAAAGGAGTTCTCAAAATTTCTGGCAATTGATAGTCATCTAGAAGGCTTGCTCTAAGACCGTTGTAGAGATGGTAACAATGGCCAGGTTGAACTCTTTAAAGAAAAAGGGGGTGGGGGGGTGGGGTGGCAGGAAAGAGTAAATACCAATGACTTCTTAGAAATATAAATAGTAAGCAAAGAAATGAGCTTTATTTCCTATCAGATACATTATAACTAAATTACGTAATTATTATTTAAGAGCAGTCCAAGCAATCTACTCTTCACTGCTTGTTTGTCGGTTTGTCATACTGTAGTGGCTTGTGTGTTGTTGTGATGCTGGGAGCTATGTGACTGGTATTCCAAATGCCAGTACAGTCACCCAAACTGAACAGGTTTCAAAGGAGCTTCCACACTACGAAGACTATGAAGAAGAAATCAGCTGCCCACTTCAGAGAAGCTGCTGAAAACCTTATGCATAGCATGCAAACACTGTCAGATACTGAAGGCCTAATGAATGAAAGGAGAACAATGCTGTAGATAGTGCCAGATGGGAAACATGGGTCAGAAGGCACATGAAATATGCCTGAGGAGGAGATGCTTTCTCAAAGAAGATTTGATCACGCTGGCCCAAGTGGAGTGGAGCCTTCAGGATGTTCATTTGTAGATGAGAAACAAACTCAAAGTGAGAAGAAACAGCTGCAAAAATCTGTAATCAGAACGTACAATGTACAAAGTATGAATCTAAGAAAATATTGAAGTCATCGAAAATTGTATGGTACATAAAGATTGCTATCTTATGCAAAGTGAGCTGAAATCGACAGATAGTGGCATTTTGAGTCATAAAAATCTATGGTTTACTATGCCAGAAATGACACAATCAAGAGGAATAGCTTTGCATTCATGGTCAATATGAACATGTCAAGATCTCTAAGCACAATGCTGTCTTTCCTTCCAGGGAATCCAATCAATACAACTATTATTCAAATTTATTCACCGACCACAAAAGCTAGTGATGGAAGAAATTTAAAAATTCTACCAAAGTCCTTTGATCAAACATACAATCAAGGTGTATTGATAATTATTGTAAATTACAATGCAAAAGTTGGAAAAGAGGAAGGTATCGTAGTTGGAGATCAAATGATAGAATTTTGCAAGAACAACAACTTGTTCGTAGCAAATACCATTTTTTAACAATACAAACGTCAAATATACACATGGACATCTCCGCTTAAATATACAGAATGGTTTGATGCTTATCTGTTAATTGAAAAGTTGATAGTTTAAACCCATTAGTGATTCCATGGGAGAAAGGACCTATGTGCCCTCATAAATATCACAACCCTATGTCAGTTCTTATTGGGGCAGAATGAGCTGGAATCACTGGACAGCACACAGTAACAATAATCAATCTACCTTAAGAGTCAGAATTATAAACTAAAACAGGCCATTTGAGCATTCTACATAAAATATTTTGGCATTTTATTTGTTGTCTATAGTACCTAAAGAGCTCTGATCTATTTGTTGTTTAGGATACTCTAAGAGGGATGCTGAAACTGTTTTTGCAAGAATTAACATGAATGATGCCATTCTTTCGACAATGGTAAGGATCTATGAGTAGAAGTGAAGGCATCCATGCATTTTTAAAAAGAATAAATATTTCTATGAGCTCTCACTACTATAGAGGGGTGGAAGACCTTTTCTTATAGGAATGAAAATGAACTCAAACTCTAAGCTATCCCTGTCTTGAATCTACATGGACTTTTTTATTATATAATTTGATCTGAATATCTATTCAGGAGAATCTGAAACCAACACCACCACAGCGAGAACCACATAGTTACCTCTAGTTTGCTTTTGGCCTCCAAAACAATCATGAATCTAACTAGCCTTTATTAAAGCCATTTATATATGTGGAGGCTGTAAGGAGAGCTAGTTTTCTTTTAAACACTATAATTCTACAGTTAACCTCTACTATGGCAGTAGGAAGAGCTCGTTAAAATGTAATACTTCAATCACTTTATTCCTATACTGTTTCATGAATCAAACCTAAGCCTGTTTAATATTCATAAATAAATATTTTTTTGTATCAGTGTTCATGGTGATCGGTCTGTATGGGTAGGCTCACGCCAAGTCATTCCCTGATAACCAGTTAGAGGACTGCACTCCTGTGAGTCATGACTTTGGCTCCATAGCAGTGACTGCAGACACACAAAAGTTACCTACAAGTCAGTTATGTGCAAAAATTAGAACAAGTGATTCAGAACTTTTCAGGAATCTTATTTTAAACCTCTAAAACAAATAATAAAAATAAAAAAACTCACTGCCACCGAGTTGATGCCAACTCATAGCGAGCCCTCTATGGGTTTCCGAGACTAACCGTTTACAGGACTAAGAGGCCCCACCTTTTTCTTTCACTATGGCTGGTGGTTTCACACCGACAACCATGTTAATCGCAGCCCGACGTGGAACGACAATACCACCAGGGCTCCTAGCTAATCTGAGGAAGGGGTAGTTATTTTTGTTAAGGCAGCACAAATTGGCTACTATGAGCATTTGTGGGCCCTGCATTTGGGAAGGACAAAATGAGACCAATTCACCACAAGGATGGCACAGTGAGGGGAAGACTACAAACTGAGGGTAATGCAGAGGGAATGGACACCATGAGAGCTTGTGGAGGGTGCCTGTGAGGGAACTGCATAGCTCCTCACCTTAACCATATGAATGGAAAGTCCCACCACTTGTATGTGACCAGCTAAATAGCCCCCTTACATGTGAGCATGCATATTGAATTCCCAAGAGAAGCATCTCAAATTCCTAAATCAGCACTGAAAAATGGGTAAGAGTGCTTCTCAGAAAAAGGTAACACTACCTCTGCTGGGTCAATTCTGACTCACAGGTAGTCTGGGAGGGCACTGGAGCAGCCCAGTGGGGTTCTTGGGGTTGTGCTTCTTTGCAGAAACCCTGACCCATCTTTCTCTCCCAAAGCAGCTGGTCAGTGTGGACCCTAGCCTTTTAGGAGGTGCTGGGCACTTGGTCACTGTGCTACAAAGGTGCACCGGTTAGGAAATTCACCACAAACATCAGAATACAAAATTTAAAGGAAAAAGAAATAAAAATAAGAAAACAGTACATTTCAACAAAAAATAGTAAAATACACACAGACACACTAAAGAGAAAGCCTAATCAAAAGTAAAACATGAAGAGAAAATTTTCCTATAGAATCTAGACTAAAAGAATTGGTCGTTTTCAGACTGTAATCCTAAATACGTTTAAAGAAAGCAAAGAACACAGACACAAAACTAGTAGAGAACAGGAAGTAAAATGACTCAACAAAGGAGTTGAAAAGAAAACAAACCAAACACACACATATATACAAGTATCTAAAGAAACCAGAGAAAAATACAGGAACTGAGGAAGGCTGTTGTGAAGCGTCATAGTTAGTTCCAACCCATATTGACCCCATGTACAACAACAGACGTAAACACTGTGCAGTCACGTGCCAGTCTCTGTCTGAGCAATAGGGCAACTGAATTAGAAAAGAGAAACACTCAACAATGCGGTGGCAGACAGGAGAAATGAACTTATCAAGTCTCATGAAAAGAACGGAAAAAGAACAATGGCAGCAAGCAAACCCCAAAGGAACTATGGCATCCAAGTAAGAAATCTATCATTAGAATTACTGGGATGCCAGAACACTATATCAACAAAAGTATATAGTACCAATTTCCCAAGAGATCATCACAGATTATTACCCAGACCTGAACAGAAATCTCAGCCTGCTCATATAAGAAGCTACACAAACTCCAATCAGGATGGACACAGAAAGATGAACTCTATACTATATTCTAATAAACTTCTTGAGTAAGACAGGACTAGAATTCTGAACGCAGAAATAAAAAAAAAAAAAGCCCATAATATATCATACTGCAGATCTTTCATAAGAATCATTGTGCACTTTCCCCAGGAAACTCTACAGGTCAAAAGACAGTATAATGACCTCTGTAAACTACAGAAGGAAAACAACCCACTGTCAACGAAGAATTCTTTATTTAGCAACACTGTCATTCAAAAGTGTGAGAGAAATCAAGATCTACTGCTTAAGCAAGCAGCAGCTCTGGGAATTTGCTACTACCAGACCAGTTTTGCAAGTATTATTAAAGAAAACACTCCAATTGGAAAGGCAATAAATATTCATACAAATACACAAAGAATGGAGGGGGAAGGGGGTAGCAAGAAGAGAAAGAAGGAAACAGAAAAAAGTGGGACTTCTCCAAAAAATGCAGCAACACAGGTAATCAGAAGGACTGGGTACATGCATCTTCAGGGCATAGACTCAGTAATTAAACCTCACAAACAATACATCAAACCTGTAAGTAGCACAAACTTAGTGTATTTCAATGGGGACACACCAACAGAAATGAGAAAGGAGCATAGCAAGAATACCTTTATTATGTGAAGCCATCATAATAACTGTTGGAATTCATGTGTAACCACACTAAGCACCAAGAAAACACACCCAGAAGAAACTAAAGAGATATCATAAGAAAGCAGAGAAACACAAACATAAGCAGAAACATCAGATGAAACAAAGAAATTAAATCTTGAAAAACAAAGAGCAAAATGAAAGTGATATTTTGTTTTCAGTAATAACCTAATGGGCTAAGCGCTCCAATGCAAAAAAGATAAATGAGTTTATCATCTAGCTGTCTATAAGAACAGGACACACACACTGATAATAAAATTAAGGAGAAAAATATTCTATGTAACCACTAAACAAAAAAAGAAGTGTGAAATATCATCAAATAAAATATAATTTAAATAGAAAACTATTGAGATATATAATAATTTCATAAGAAGAGTCAATACAGCAAGAGAGGATATAACAGTTATAAATATATGCACCTATGAGCAATATAAAAAATGCAAGAAACAAAGGCTAATATGAAAGGAGAAATTGATTTCTCAACAATAACATTAGGGACTCCAGCACATACTTTCAAGTTAGGCAGAATATCTAAAAAGATCACTATGGACATTGACATTTAAATCCTAAGACAACCTAACAGAAATATATAGAACATTCCTCGCAGCGTCAGAATATACATTCTTTTTCATCACACAAGGATCATTTTCCAAAATAGACTATATGCTACAGACAAAACAAATATCAATAAATTAAAAAGACTTAAATCACACAAAGCATCTTCTCTGACCCTAACAGCATGAACAGGAAAAAACAAGGGAAAAAAGTAATGGAAACCTAGTAAAACAACACTAAAAACGACTGGGTCACAGAAGAATGAAAAAGTAAATTAAAAAATTTCTAGAATCAAACAAAAATGAAAACACAACATACTAGACAAAGCTTCCAATAAAACCAGTACTCACAGGGACATTCACAATAACACATATCTACATTTAAAAAGACCCCAAATCATCGACTTAAATTGACAACTTGCACAAAGAACAATGGAAGAGCAAAAGGAACCAAAATATAACAGTAAAAAGAAAATAATGATTGGGGCAGAAATAACTGAGAAAGGGGAAAACATTTTTAAGATGATGATTCCCTGAAAAGATCAGTTAGATAAACCAGCTAGACTGACAAACAAAATACAACCAGAAGACACAAATAACAAATTAAGAAATGAGAAGGAAAAAAATCATAATTACTATAAAAAATTGAACTTAACAACTTTGAAAACCTAGATAAAATGGGCAAATTCCTAAAAGCACATTACCTTCCTTAACTACTACAAACAGGTAGATAAACTCTCTGCCATCAAGTCTTCTCTGGCTCATAACCTGCAGGAGAGAGTAAAACTGCCCCACAGGATCCTCAAGGCAGCAATCTTTCTGGAAGCTGACTGCCATGTCTACAGAGAAGCTGAGGGGTTTGGCCTTTCTGTTAACAGCCAATTGTTTTTAACCAGTGGTGCCACCATCAGGGTTCCATACATTTAAATACACCAATTACAAAAGAAGAAACTGAAGATATCACTTAAAAACTGGGAAAACAACAATAGTCCAGGACCAGATGGCTACACAGAATTCTATAAACATTCAAGCACTGACACCAACCCTATTCAATCTCTTTGAGAACACAGAAGAGTTAGGAACATGACCAAACTCTTTCTAAAAAACCATCATAATCATAATCCCCCAGAGGATAAAGCCATTGTGTGCAAACATACACACATGCAAACATACAATTATAGTTGACCTTTGAACAACACACAAATTTGGAAGTGATGGAGCCCTCCCACATTCAAAAGTCCACATATAGTTTGATTCCCTCAAAATTCAACTACTAATAGGGTACTGTTGACTGGAAGCTATTAACAAAAATAGGCATTAACGTATTTTATATATGAATTTATGCTATACCCACATAAAAGCTACATTTCAACATGAAATAAAAAGGTATTTGGCAAAGTGCGCAGAGTTTCCATGCCTGCTTCCTTTTCCTTTTTTACCATGGTTCTTACTGGATTCATTTATCTTGAAAAGTAAAGATGAGATGATAGAGTGTCAGGGAAACTAGAGTACTGGAAATGGAATAAACAGAACACAAAGAGAAAGACAACTAAAACCAATGTTAGGAAAAATTCATTCTAATTTCCTGTGCAAACTTCTACCAAAACTAAACCTCATCCCCCAAAAGACGCAATTGTCAAAGTTTAAGGCACATCCATTTTTCACTCCTTATACCACTACCACATCAATGGGGAAAACACTTCCTTACGTTTTCATTGGTAGTTAATTATGAAAACTCCCCGGCTATTCAACAGTGGTTAAGAGCCAAGTCTGTGAAGCCAGACTTCCTGGACTCAAATCTTATTGCTACTGCAATGCTATGTGACTTAAGCCAAGTTATTTATTTGTGTGCTAATTTCCTAATCCTTAAAAGAATAGCATTGTGGTGAAGACTTAAGAAACTTTGTAAAAAGTAACTAGGAGATGGATCAATATTGAAATATGTGCTTTAGAAAAACAATGGAAACCATGTTCCAAGTAACACAACTAATAAGAATAAAGAACATTAATTTTCATCACGCTGAGGAACTAGAGACTGGAAATACAAAAATAGAAAGTTGGCAAATGTTTTTCAGAAAAAAGAACTATGATTTAAAGCAACGCTCTCATTTATATACACTCTATAGGCAACTCTCCAAATAAATAATATTAGTAAACGGCAGTAACACATTTTGCCACAGAAGTTTTCTTCAAAGAAACAAAGGTCCCCTCTTACCTGCCAGCTCGGCCTTTCCTTTGTTTGGCATTTGCTTTACTGACCCATTCAGTGGACATCGTACTGATGTTGTTCTGAGTGTCAAAGTGTGTCTCTTTTATTTTTCCTCCATCTATCACATAAACTACATCATCTATGGTAATGCTGTTTATAAAATAAGAAAAGAAGAATATCACACCAAAAGCATCATCAAACTACAGTAGGCTTGTTTTTAACGAGGTCAAATGGATTTATTTGAGCAGTTCACAACTTCATCTCTCTTCTTACATTTTCCAATGATCAGGGAATGGTACATCTATAGGCACCAAAAGAAACAGTAGTGGTAACACTATTGGTTCTGTACATCAATTCTTATTTGCCTAGAGCCAGACTTTACAGTTTATCTAACCACTTCTTGGACCTAGCTCTGTGGTCTTCACATGCTAAGCTTTAATGTTTCAGGGATTGTACTGGTGGATTAGCAACTTGAAGGTAATACAAGGAAGTTTAAAGACTACATGCAATTACTAAAATTGTATAAAAAAAAATCTCTCCCAACCCAAATTTGACAGAGGCACAAAATTGAATTCCATTCCCTTGCTTCTTTTTGAAAGGTTCCGGAAAAGAAACAAACAAAACCCATTTAATCCAAGACTGTTTCTGAATAAGGTTAACACAAAACTATGCTTGTTGCCATATTTAAGGTTCTATAAATTAAAAATCATGAATTTCAGAGGAAAAAACAAGATATACTAATAATTAATAATTTATGGGGGGCTCAAAACTACTGTAATCCTAAGCAAAAAATACTGAAAGCAATCTTACCTCGTCTCTGCAATGTTGGTAGCAATGACTATTTTCCGAACACCAGGAGGAGTTTTTTTAAATACCTGTAAAAATAAATAAACCCGCAAAACCATTAATTTCTGATATTTTTGAAAAATAACTTCTCATACAGCTCATTTTTAGAATTTTGTGGTCCTTCCCTGACAAATGTATCTCACATTAAAAATAACCCATAAGTTTCAATGCTACAAAATGCTCTCTATATCTGATATCTTCTATATCAGAACGTTCACCAAAAACAAGATTGATGAATTATTTAAGTTGATAAAGCATGCCTTTTAGCAAAAACTGGTGGTGTAATTGTCTCACTGTGTAATCAAATCGACAAGCAGAGAAGAGTAGCTTAAGAACAAGAATTAGGAGGCCAAACCTATAGAGTAATAAAGGACACCAATCAATCAAGGAGACAGTCACCCATTAGAATGGAGGTCCCCTGGGGCATGCTGTGCCACTGTAGACTAGCTTGAGATCAGACTGGAATGAAAAAACAAAAAAAGGTCTCTTTCCAAATGTGAATCCTACAAACAAAACCACCAACTAGAAAAAAGCCAGGTAGTCGTGTACTGTGATGGCTAGGATGGGGGTGGGGTGGGGGGAAGGCACCAACGCTTCCCTGCTTTATATAATGATAATCTATAGGAGAAAAATGTTTCCCAATCTAGTCACAAAGTTCCTAGCAAAAGAACAGTCTCCTGTTAGGATGCAGGGTGGAATCTGTTCTAACCATTCCCTCCCCTCAGATATGCACCATTTATCCATGTAATTCAGTACTAAGGTACCAGCAGAAGAGATAGTAAAAGAGTCTCAACAAAAAACTTCTTAACATTTTAGAAGGGCAGCAGGGTAGATGTTCTAGTCCATCTCATTGTAACAGGGCCTGTAAACACTGTAGTTCATGAAGCTACCTGCCTCTCAGACTGTGATGTTCATTCTTACAGAGTCCCTGTATTTGATGAAGCAAACACATCCCAAAGCATAAAACATTATTGACAAAATTTCATACCTGTAAATATAATAATTCCATTAAACCAAAATGTTACACATCAGGCTACAGGATATCACATAATCAATTTTAAGGCTGTACTATCTTTATTGGAATTCACATAGCATTTTTTTTAATTCAGGAAATTCAAACAAATTACAGGTGAAACCCAATTCTTCAAATGTTTCCATTTAAAACATATTAGTGATTAAATATTCCAATCCCACTTAAAAACTAATAAAACAGTCCTGCTCCAATACTAACATACATCCCCTAGTGGGGACATTAGTGAACAGTTTGTCAACACTGAGGGAACATTCAAAGATTTCGTTTCATCAAAGAACAAGTCCCTGTGTGGCTAAAGTGCTTGACTGCCAACCAAAAAGTTGGAGTTTGCACAGGTACGGCAAAAGAAAGGCCTGTCCTTGCCCCCGAAACCTCTGTGGAGCAGACCACTCTGAAACACATGGATCTGCAGGAGCCGGCATCAACTCAAAGGCAACTACAACTGAGATACTAGCACAATTTCTTTCACTTGTGCATTAGCCACTATTAATGTAAGTTTCTGTGCAATTCTCTCCTGAAGGTTCTCAAAAAGTATTTTCTCAATAAATTACTATTTGAAAATGCTCCTTTAAATAATGAAAGAAAATAAAAATACAGTAAGCAATCATTCTTGCCTCAAGTTTGAAAGACAGAAATTGATTGTTTACAACATACCTGTGTCTGATTAATTGTTGGCATCAGTGAATGTAAAGGTATAATGAGAAACTTATCTGAAAATCAGAAATAAAATTAAAGTTAAGACAGATTCAGAAAAGCAGTATCAGACATTTGACAATGAATTCACATGTCAAGTCATGTCACTTTTAAGTCACATCCCCCCATATGAAAGGACTTCAAAACATTGGTGGAAAAATGGAATTTTCCATTAACTTTTTGAAGTTCCCTCATCGATCACACCAATTCTTATATTCTTGTTTTCTAAGTACTGCAGCAACTTTCAGTTGATATCTTGTTTGTTAATCTATCAGTTGATATCTTGTTTGTTAATCAATACAATTCCAAGTGTTTAAAAAAGACAATAATCCAGCCATATATTTAATCATGACTATACTTTTTCTACAGACCTTCCTTGACAAGGAAATTAAAAGACAACTTTTTAAAATGTGAATGTTTTCAGGGCATTATTATGATGGATTTATCAAATATTGAAAAGATTAGAGTTCACAGCACCCAAAACAAATCGGAATCACCTGAGGAAGTTTTAGAAACTTCCTATGTTCAAGTTCTATTCTGGATTTGGAGTGAGGATGGGCCTGAGCATTTGAACTTTTAAAAAGTCCCTGGGTGCGACTGTCGCCGCCAGGGCAGTGAACCCCTAGGCTAGGTGATAACATAAAGCATCTTTTCTGCCCAAGAAAACCTAGTTGTGTGTGTGTGTGT